GAGAGAGAGAGAGAGAGAGAGAGAGAGAGAGAGAGAGAGAGAGAGAGATACATATCTCTCTCTCTCTCTATATATATATACATACATTTATTTTATTTTTTTTGTCATGGACTGCTGCACTCTTTGCACGGTTTTATTTTCCATGCCTGATTACTGCCAGTAACGATGATGGGCACGACATTCACAAAAAGAGCATATCTGCTGCAGCAGATTTTGCAGAAATACCAAGTACTAAGCACAATTGTTATCAAGTTTGCACCTAGTACGAATATCAGATAGCATTACAGAATGCCACTGGTTTATTTCTGAGTAACAAAAGTGTCAACTTTGCTGGCAAAAAAACAAAAAAGGCAGCCTGCCAGTGTCCTGTGTTAGAAATGTGGGAATACACTGGCACAGTGGTGACTACTTGACAACAACCACTAACCTAAGCCAGCTTTCTCACAGCACAGAAATATGGTGGTAAAATGGCATGTTTGACTAATAATTTGTGAGAATGTGCCTGATGCAAAACAGCCTGATTTGCCACAAGCACTGATTTACATGGATCAATTCATAGTTCAAGTGCTCACTACAAAACAAAAAAATAAATCTATATCTTATCACAGTAGAAGTGCTGCTTACCAACAGGCATTCCAGCTCAAAATTAGTTATCTCTTTATCACCAAAGCCCCACAAATTACAGACAAATAAAATGTTTTAGAGATATATTTATCAACATATTCTCATCAGGGACTGAAGACACTTCCCCCCCGCTACCAATAAGCATACCTCCTGACTATCTGAGGTGAGAAAGAAGGACACATACAATGCAGGCAAATCACATGCCCCTGCTACACCTCCATTTATACCAAGCATAAAGAACTAATGTAGCGCTACCCCCATAGGAGCAGCTGGTTGCACGGTTCACTTCTAGTCGGTCTAGAGTATGATCTTCAACTGCCCACCCGATAGCTTTAACCGCCCACTTCTGGTGCCCATAAACTGATGTCCAGTCCAGTAGTAAAATGCTAAGTAAACGGTTTATTGAACATCTTCACTGGGGAGAGAGGGCATAGGGTTCTAGGTGTCCAGGGGTAACTTTCAGAAGCTCCAGACTCACCAGACTTCACAGGCACATCAGAGCAGATCCCATTGGGAGACAGCAGGCAGCGACTGATGTAACAGACAGATTGTAGAAATGTCACCAGCACACCAATCCTTTTCAGATAGCAAAAGCTTCATTTATTTAAGTTTTTTGTCATATGACCAAACAAGCGCTTTCAGGACCGCGCAGGGTCCCTTCATCAGGCTTTAGCATAGTGTCAATGCTAAAGCCTGATGAAGG